GACTGTTGACTGGCCTACATATCGACAACACTCTAATTGCCAGACATAATGAGGGCAAATTCCTTGGCCTATACCTCGACAATAACCTAAATTTCAGCACCCATATCCAACACATAACAAAAAATGTGTCCAAAACGGTGGGAATCCTCTCCAAGACACGATACTACGTGCCGCAAGCTGCCCTTCTCACACTATTCCATACACTTATATATCCATACCTCACCTATGCTATCTGTGCTTGGGGTTCAACTGCAGCAACACACCTAAAGCCAATAATAACCCAACAAAAAGCCGCAGTAAGAATAATCACTAAATCCCATCCCTGGCAACACCCCCCCCCCCTCCCACACTCTTCATAGATCTAAACTTACTCCCTGTTCAGAGCATCCACACTTACTACTGTGCAATCTATATATACAGGACCTTAAATTCCAGTATTAACCTTGACCTAAAACGCTTTCTTGATAGTTGTGACAGGATCCACAGGCATAACACCAGACACAAACATCTCTATGGCATTCCCCGTGTCCGACTAAACCTTTACAAAAATTCAATGTATTTCAAAGGACCTAAAATCTGGAACACCCTACCTGAAAACTCTAGAACTGCAGACACACTCATCACTTTCAAAACTACATTTAGAAAACATCTTATCTCCCTGATACACCCCGACAACTAACTACATGATAACCACCTGGTGGTTCACAATTACACTCACTCACCCACTGACTATAAACACAGAAATACTAATCTTAATCTTAAAATAATGTATCCTAACTAGTCATAAGTTTTCCTATGATACTCCAATATAGACACTTTGTATTGTGCTAAAACAAAAGCATTCACATTGCTAAACTCACAAATTATAATGTAGTCACCTAGCCTTAATACCATAATCTGTAAGGATTTAATGTTAAGAATTAATCTAAGTCTGCCCGAAATGCCTAGCCATGCTAGGTGTCCTAGTGGCCCCCCTCTGTAATTAGTATTTTATAACATGTAAACCACACAATATCCAAATCCTGTAAACTCCACATTGTAACCCTTGTAGAGAATAAACTTGATTTGATTTGATTTGATTTGATTTGATTTCAAGATTTTCTGAACTTCACTTTCGGCAGTATATACAGTATATCTCCTGTTGCTTCACCTTCATATTGTTCCAAGACTATGGAACAGAGCTCTTATCCAGGATGAGGTACTGACCAACTGAGAAATTCTTCTACGAGGGTGATGGACTGATTACGTCGTCTCTATGTCTCTACTACTTATGCTGCCTCCTCTGTAGAGGAGGCAGCAGAAATAGTGGAGAAACCTACTGTGTAGGCGCAGCGTTTTGCAGAAATGATATCTAAGTGTTGCACATGTGTCTTAATTGTCAACAAACATATAGGTAAGCACATACCCACACAAAGTGCAATACTGTCACAGTTATTCAGTACATTTGCTGAATAACTGTGACAGTATTGTCCTTACTTCAATGATTCATTCATAGACGATACACGGATTACACCTTCCAGAGAATATTCGAGTATGTTTTGAAACTATGGAAAATCCTGGATCCATAAAGAATGGGCTGCAAGGAAAGACTAAAGAAAGAAAACTTTACAGCTAACAAAGTGGAAAATGCTGTGGAAAAAATCATTGCAATGCACTAGATCATGCATGTTTCAACCAATAGGACAAGCGCATTCATAAATTAACAAACGATCTTTGGGGTTCTCGTCAGTCACTTTTTCTTAAACTGAGGTAATTAAGAAGTGGAAAGATCTGGTAGTATTTTTAGAACAGTTTTTCGAGAGGGTATGATTCGCCCGACGTGACCATTCTTGAGGGTTCAAGGAGTGGTGGTGATTACTGAGAGTCGACTCACTCCATAACAAACATGTTAGTTATTACATACACAGTAATACTGCAGAATATATTTTCAATTTTACTCCAAAAAATGTTTCTGGATCCTCAGAATAATGTCGATGACAGAGGCTGGATTATTTTTTCAATGGCTCAAAATTGAAGAAAAGAACTCCACTACATGTTACCGTGCGCCTAACAAGATCACTGTCAACATGGCCCTCTCCATCAGTAATGTTTGGGTAATAATTTGTGTTCAAATTTAAAAAAAATATGATTTTAAATTATTAATTTATTAATATGTGTCTATATATTGTCAGGTGTTATTTAAACATTCTTTTAAATATTTTAAATCAATAACTAATTATGTTTTCCTCATTTCAGGGAATGTTTGTAATCCTTATCATGGGATACTTTCTGAGTGTTTGTGTATTCTGTCTTGAGCTTCTCATTCATCGTCTTCCTCAACAAGTTCAGAAATTTCCACATGAACACAATTTTTAGTTACTCGACTAAACCGTCCACAACTGCAATATATGTGACCTCACACAGGCAAATTATTTTTCGCACTTTGCTAAATAAAACATTACTGATGGCAACTGTATACCATCACTCGCCACTGTTTTATATTGTTTAAAGTTAAATTACTTTATTGCACCTTAAAGAATTTTTCACATACCTGTAACATCGCAATTCTATTTTTCTCTCTAATGGTAAATGGTCTTTTACGATTTTTTCTGAGTTTCTCGGTTATCTCTATACTAAGTTGTTGTAGCCATTTATGCAATATTTGTGGCTATCTCTAAAGTACTACTTATATATGAAGAACACTGCGGTTGCGTTAAGAATTACATAATAAAGGATAAAGCAACGCTTTTTCAACTTCGCTTTTATCTAAAGCTGTTTATTTATATTCAGAATATTTTTTTGCCTATATAAGAAACTTACTGTTGACGATATGCCAATTAAATCGTTGATTTTGCTTGTCAGTTAAATGTCGTCACTGCAGTGTGTACTCTGTTATATCAGCATAATTACTGTTCTGTCTCCCATGTCATCACTAACTTATCTTCGCACTTTTTTAGATAGTTTTTAAATATTTTATTGTTGTTATTTGATATTTATTTCTAATCCTTATTGTTCCATATTCAGAAGATTATTTTGATAATGTATCCACAAGGTATTATTATTTTCATAATAAACTGTACATTGTGACTTCTTTTATAACTCAAATAAAAAGGCAAGTCTTATTTATCGAGATTAAAAAAATCTTTCTGGTGATGATAACATCTTCACTATAAATCTTCATTTCACAGATGTCATTTACAATAATGTAATGTTATACTGTGCTGAAAACTTTGTTATAATTTATCATTATTATGTTTTCCAAACACTTTCTTATCTTCAGTCACCTGATTCCTTCTCAGTATTCTCCGATCATTTAATATTTTAACACTTGCATAAATTTAACTTGTTTTTATCTGGACATATAATATCTTAACAAATGCTATGACTGATAAAGGATTTATATGCATTTAGTTGAAAATAAATCTGTACACATTAACAGTAATGTTTGCACTATACTGCCTCTCATTGCTTCTTCTATTCTAATTTTCTCCTTTTATGTGTTTGTTGTGCATGTGCACTGTTTAATATATAAGTTGAGTACCCTTAAGCCCTCCTCCTTAGCTCCGGGAATAGTCTTCTTCCAAACATCTACACTTTTCCATTTTTGTGGGATCCATACTGGTAATGCGCACTCCAAAATGGTTCTGACGTAGACGGTGTACAGTTCGTAGATGAATAATTGAATAGTTGTAGCAGCTATTTGGTTGATGTGCGAACCAGGATACGTTCCATATGATAGTCACCCCAAGGTTCTTCTACTACAGTAAGGTTTGTAACCATTGTATCACCAGTCTGTACTCCGTCTGCATTCTTCTTTGTTCTTTCTCAAGCTTTATAACTTTGTACTTGGTGGGGTTAAACTCCAGGAACCATTCGTCAAACCAAGCCTGTAGCCTGTCCATATACATTTGTAGCCTTTGCTGGTCCTCTTCGGCTTCTATTCATATTAATTTCACTATATCTTCTAACAGGGATACCTCTAACTCTATCCTTTGTGTGTGTGTGTGTGTGTGTGTGTGTGTGTGTGTGTGTGTGTGTGTGTGTTGTGTGTGTATGTGTGTGTGTGTGTTTTGTGAGTGTGTGTGTGTGTGTGTGTGTGTGTGTGTGTGGGGTGTGTGTGTGTGTGTATGTGTGTGTGTGTGTTTGTGTGTGTGTGTGTGTGTGTGTGTGTGTTGTGTGTGTGTAGTGTGTGTGTGTGTGTGTGTGTGTGTGTGTGTGTGTATGTGTGTGTGGTGTTCTGTGAGTGTGTGTGTGTGTCTGTGTGTGTTGTGTGTGTGTGTGTGTGTGTGTGTGTGTGTGTGTGTGTGTGAGTGTGTGTGTGTGTGTGTGTGTGTGTGTGCTGTGTGTGTGGTGTGTGTGTGTGTTGTACTGACTACTCTGTGGCTGAAGAAATACTTCCTAACTTTCCTGTGATTCATCTGTGTCTTCAACTTCCAACTGTGTCCCCTTGTTACTGTGTCCAATCTCTGGAACATCCTGTCTTTGTCCACCTTGTCAATTCCTCTCAGTATTTTGTATGTCGTTATCATGTCCCCCCTATCTCTCCTGTCCTCCAGTGTCGTCAGGTTGATTTCCCTTAACCTCTCCTCGTAGGACATACCTCTTAGCTCTGGGACTAGTCTTGTTGCAAACCTTTGCACTTTCTCTAGTTTCGTTACGTGCTTGGCTAGGTGTGGGTTCCAAACTGGTGCCGTATACTCAAATATGGGCCTAACGTACACGGTGTACAGGTTCCTGAACGATTTGGAATGCTGTTCTGAGGTTTGCTAGGCGCCCATATGCTGCAGCAGTTATTTGGTTGACGTGAGCTTCAGGAGATGTGCCTGGTGTTATACTCACCCCAAGATCTTCTTCCTTGAGTGAGGTTTGTAGTCTCTGGCCCCCTAGACTGTACTCCGTCTGCGGTCTTCTTTGCCCTTCCCCAATCTTCATGACTTTGCACTTGGTGGGATTGAACTCCAGGAGCCAATTGCTGGACCAGGTCTGCAGCCTGTCCAGATCCCTTTGTAGTTCTGCCTGGTCTTCGATCGAGTGAATTCTTCTCATCAACTTCACGTCATCTGCAAACAGGGACACCTCAGAGTCTATTCCTTCCGTCATGTCGTTCACAAATACCAGAAACAGCATAGGACTGACACCTGTGGGACCCCGCTGGTCACAGGTGCCCACTCTGACACCTCGCCACGTACCATGACTCGCTGCTGTCTTCCTGACAAGTATTCCCTGATCCATTGTAGTGCCTTCCCTGTTATCCCTGCTTGGTCCTCCAGTTTTTGCACTAATCTCTTGTGTGAAACTGTGTCAAATGCCTTCTTGCAGTCCAAGAAAATGCAATCCACCCACCCCTCTCTCTCTTGTCTTACTGCTGTCACCATGTCATAGAACTCCAGTAGGTTTGTGACACAGGATTTCCCGTCCCTGAAACTATGTTGGCTGCTGTTGATTAGATCATTCCTTTCTAGGTGTTCCACCACTCTTCTCCTGATAATATTCTCAATGATTTTGCATACTATACATGTCAGTGACACTGGTCTGTAGTTTAATGCTTCATGTCTGTCTCCTTTTTTAAAGATTGGGACTACATTTGCTGTCTTCCATGCCTCAGGCAATCTCCCTGTGTCGAAAGATGTATTGAATATTGTTGTTAGGGGTACACATAGCGCCTCTGCTCCCTCTCTCAATACCCATGGGGAGATGTTATCTGGCCCCATTGCCTTTGAGGTATCTAGCTCACTCAGAAGCCTCTTCACTTCTTCCTCGGTTGTGTGCACTGTATCCAGCACATGGAGGTGTGCCCCACCTCTCCGTCTTTCTGGAGCCCCTTCTGTCTCCTCTGTGAACACTTCTTTGAATCTCTTGTTGAGTTCCTCACATACTTCTCGGTCATTTCTTGTTGTCTCTCCTCCTTCCTTCCTTAGCCTGATTACCTGGTCCTTGAATGTTGTTTTCCTCCTGATGTGGCTGTACAACAGTTTCGAGTCAGATTTGGCTTTCACTGCTATGTCATTTTCATATTGTCTTTGGGCCTCCCTTCTTATCTGTGCATATTCGTTTCTGGCTCTACGACTGCTCTCCTTATTCTCCTGGGTCCTTTGCCTTCTATATTTCTTCCATTCCCTAGCACACTTGGTTTTTGCCTCCCTGCACCTTTGGGTAAACCATGGGCTCATCCTGGCTTTTTCATTACTCCTGTTACCCTTGGGTACAAACCTCTCCTCAGCCTCCTTGCATTTTGTTGCTACATATTCCATCATCTCATTAATTGGCTTCCTGGCAGTTCTCTGTCCCACTGAACCCCGTTCAGGAAGTTCCTCATTCCTGTGTAGTCCCCTTTCTTGTAGTTTGGCTTCATTCGTCCTGGCCTTCCTGCTTCCCCCTCCACTTATAGCTCTACTGTGTATTCGAAGCTTAAAACCACATGGTCACTGGCCCCAAGGGGTCTTTCATATGTGATGTCCTCGATATCTGCACTACTCAAGATGAATACTAAGTCCAGCCTTGCTGGTTCATCCTCTCCTCTCTCTCTTGTAGTGTCCTTTACGTGTGTGTGTGTGTGAGTGTGTGTGTGTGTGTGTGTGTGTGTGTGTGTGTGGTGTGTGTGTGTGTGTGTGTGTGTGTGTGTGTGTGTGTGTGTGTGTGGTGTGTGTGTGTGTGTGTTTTCTGTTCGTTAGGTATTCCTTTATATGTTTTTTCCTAGTTATTCTTGTTCCTTGATTTGTGAATCGCCCTTAGGTGAGGTTTAGTGTCAATGCGGTCCTCTAGTTCATGAAAATACACTCGACTCATTCTTGTCTTTCTTGGTCTCCTGCTTTGTACACAAACTCAGTGAACAAAAGCAAGTTGCGAACATTTCGCCTGAGTATCACATCACCTGAATAAACAGTATATCAAACGCGACATTGACAACACGGAGGCATTCCCGCCCTTATACACGGCGTATGTCAGGCCCATCCTAGAGTATGTCAGGCCCATCCTAGAGTATGTCAAGCCCATCCTAGAGTATGTCAGGCCCATCCTAGAGTATGTCAGGCCCATCCTAGAGTATGTCAGGCCCATCCTAGAGTATGTCAGGCCCATCCTAGAGTATGTCAGGCCCATCCTAGAGTATGTCAGGCCCATCCTAGAGTATGTCAGGCCCATCCTAGAGTATGTCAGGCCCATCCTAGAGTATGTCAGGCCCATCCTAGAGTATGTCAGGCCCATCCTAGAGTATGTCAGGCCCATCCTAGAGTATGTCAGGCCCATTCTAGAGTATGTCAGGCCCATCCTAGAGTATGTCAGGCCCATCCTAGAGTATGTCAGGCCCATCCTAGAGTATGTCAGGCCCATCCTAGAGTATGTCAGGCCCATCCTAGAGTATGTCAGCCATCCTAGAGTAGTCGGCCCATCCTAGAGTATGTCAGGCCCATCCTAGAGTATGTCAGGCCCATCCTAGAGTATGTCAGGCCCATTCTAGAGTATGTCAGGCCCATCCTAGAGTATGTCAGGCCCATCCTAGAGTATGTCAGGCCCATCCTAGAG